CAGACTTTTAGGACTTAATTCTCTGGTCTAAGATTCCATCAACCCAGCTCTTTAGTAAGTTCAACCACTGTTTTACACGGATTAATCCTGGAGCTCAGACTATATGGTTTAGCATTCCGTTTTCTCTTTCTTCCTCCAGTGAGGCTCAGGGTTTAGAGCCTGAGGTATGTGTGTGTTTGACATTTTTCTCGTTCTGAAACCCTAGTTTATCACTCGCTGGTGCTGGTGATGGCAAAGCTTGTTACACTAAAGCATCGTCCTGAATGTCTTTATTTTTGACAATTCACCAATTCATTTTACATTCAGGATTTCCCTTAGCTTGCTTTGGGCATATTAAGTAACTCAGAATAATCTGAAAACAAATAAATTCTTTAGTCTGCCTCTGTATTTGATCTTCTAAAATATAGCTATATTTATACAAACGTGTAAAAGCTATTATCCCATAAACTCTGTGGCAATTCATGTGGCTGTGCATATTATGACAGTCTAGGAGTATGAAATTTAAAACTCCAGATGATTTTCGTGAGTAATACACATTAGTGAACATAGTTCATTGTTTTTAACTTTTAATCTGTGATTCAAACAAGAAGCATCAAAATTGATGCAGGAGATGGAAGTATACTTTATTGTATGTTTCTCTACGTATATAATGGGTGAGGACCTATTGGTGTTTACTTCCACCTATTTCTTAGATGGAAATCGATGCTTTAGTTAAGTCAAGTTGCATTGTACCTTCTCTGCTATTTACTCCTTGCAAATTTGGCCTTGTGTGTTACATTGTTTTAATTCAAGCACTGTCCTTTTCTCGTGTCTTACATCCAGAAGAGGTCGGCTATGTTTTCCTCTGATAGCACATGTTTTGGTCACGACTGAGTTTAGGCTGCTTGGCACCTTCAGTGTTTAGCTGTCGGTGGCTGGCCTCTGGACCTCCTTTTTTATGAGGAAGGTTGTGAAGAAGTTTAGAAATGAGAAGCCTTTCATGTGACTAATCAGCAGCCTGCTGTCATTCTTGAGAATTCTGATAATCTTTGACACCCAGAGATTAGACCCTTCTTTGGCTCGTACTGAGACACTCAAAAGTCATCCAACTTGTAGCATTTTTTAGCAATGGGAGCACTTGGTTGTAGTTAGCAGGCCAGAATGAGCTATAAATAAATAAAATCCTACAGTGCTTGCTTCCTTCATTCAGGGTAGTCTGCTGATAAGATGCAAGCAGCTGGCAGAAGAGAAGATTCTCAGCAGGTTTAAGTGCTTACCAGAGTGCTTTCCTGTATCCATGGCTCAGCTTCCAGTCTCTGCTGTGTTATTTTGGCATTCTAGACTTGTAAGATTGGAGAGTCGAGTTTAAAACTCTCAATATATCATTAGGGTAGCCCAAGGTCCCTTCTTGTCAAGGAAGACTAACTGATTCCAGGGGGAAGGAAAAGCAGAATCCAGGGCACCTGTAAATCCCTGTAGTTTTGTGCTGTGGATTTGTAGCTAATTATACAGCAGGCAACAGTAATATGCTGTAGCTCTGTTGGCGTACTTGTTTCAGAAAGAGCGAAATCTTCCAGCAGAGCAAAGAAGGGGCTTTCAAGGGGCTGCAAATGAATGAAGCTGTGATCGTTTTATTGTAAACTAAAGGTCTGCAGTGGAATCAGGGCATCGGAACTGCAAGGAGTTGGTAGGGGAGACACCAGTAGAAATACATGGTTCAGATGTATTTTACAGCTCTTGATTTGGATTCTCCTGTAGAAATATAGTTACTCAAGGAGACCACCACTGGTCACAGCCAGTCAAATTGCTCTTTCTTCTATGGTACTGCTGTTAGTGACTGCTAGTAGGTTATTCAGCCGACCTCTTCTGGTTCTCCTTTGTTGCCTGATTTCAAAAGATTTGCCCTATACTGGCTCTCAGTCACAGCTTGATGTAACCACTGCTTGTTTGCATGCATCCCCATCATTTTCATATAGGGTCATTTTTTTTTTCTTCAAGTTAGAAGGCAAAAGAATTGGGAGCATTTTTATATGATAAAAGATTTACGTAGGGCCAGCTAGAATCAAGCAAAATGAAACTGAACTGGAAGGGATAGTAAAAGGCTCAGAGAAGTTGTAACTGCCAGAGAAGTCAGTGTTCCTTAAATAAAAGAGGGTTCAGCTAGCAGGCAGCAAGTCTGACTTTCCATTCTTATTGAAGCAGGCTCTCCAGCCATTCTAGGCAGGCAGATCAATAAAATCAGAGGTGACTTAATGTCAGGAACCTCAGAATTCAAAGGATTTCTCTTGTCCTTCTTTAAATTTATTCTATATTGATGTGGAATGCTAGCCACAGGAACTGAAATGAGAAAATGCCAGGTCTAGATTCTGGATTATGACACCATATTGAACAGTGTCCTTGGAAAGCATCCCCTTTGGTTTCTCAGTTATCACATCTGTAAAGTGGAGCTAATCTATTAGAAGGAAAATCATTCCAGTATTTATCAAAACATTGAGTGAAGATTCATTGTAAGTGCTTTGCATAGTCTAAACAGCAAATGTTTTATGAGACGTGAATTTATATCCCATTTATGTATTTGAAAGTGCATTTGATCGTCCTGTCAGAGGTTGAGCAATTTGATATTTTCACATGATGAGTATGCAGTGGAATGTGGTAGATTTTACTTTATTTTTAGCTATGTATATGGAATATTTCACTCCATGCAGTCTCTTCTTGGTTTTTTGTTTTTGTATAGACCATGGATCTAGATTTCTAGTGTATCACCATAGTGTGCAGTATACCACGTTGGTCATAGTCTTAAATTGATCAAATAGTTCCTCTATAGGGTAACAAAACATAAAAATGATCATTATGGACATGGTTAAGTGTTTACCTGGTAATAGAGAGTTTATCTTTCCTTCCCTGTGCATCTCCCCTAGAGCCCTAAAGATTCTTATTCTACCAAAGAGGATAAGCTGTCTCTAAACTTAACCTCTTACATGATTGATTTGGGGCCATTCCTTTAAAAACTGGAGATGCTGGGAGCTTTTGTTCTTACCCCATACTGTGTAGATGGTGCACAATTCCTATAACAAAGCAGCAGGGGGCTCCCTATGAGAGCTTGAGAATTGCTGATGGAGAGGGGCTGGCTTTTTGTTGGTGGTGTTCTTTTCAATTCAGGCCCTTTTCTACTGAAAACTTGGCCCTCATCCTGTGAAGACTCCCTAAGGGATTAGAGTGTAGCTACAGAAGCAATGAGACCATTTTATTAGTTTAAGAAATTGGTTAACAGGTGAGAGAGATTATACTGGTTTCTAAATTCCAGAAACCTGGATGGATGGAGCCTCAGATTGCTTTGCTTTGGTTGTAAGGTTCTTCTCTCTGAACTGAGGTTCACGGTAAGGGGCTGTGCAGGTTGCCTAATTCTTTAGAATACTTTATATATTAAAAGGGAGACTTTCCTGTATTTTCACTAGCATCTACATTTAGTTTTCTGCTTAGTTCCACCTCCCTCAGCTCTAGAAGCTGTGCGTACTTTTTGTTTGTTGATGAGGGTCAGGTGCATTATAACTAAGGATCTCTTGTAAAATGAAACCCATCTGCCTAAGTAAGAGGCTCAAAGAATCCACACAGCAAAGGTGCAGGTTTTTGCACTTGGCAGTTGCTCTCCCTGCCTTAGGAATTCACTCTGTGATACAGGTTTGATGCAGAGAGCATTGCTACTCACAAATCACACAAGGTATACAGTTTGTGTGCAGTGATGTGTCACAGCTTTTTATTTATATGGCCAGCTCAGTCTGTTCTGCTCCTTTCACTGCTAAGGAAAGTGCATCATTTTCCTCCCTCTCTCCTCCTTCCCACATATCATCAGCACCACCCACTATGTTCTGCCCATTAAGTCGTCTGTGTGCCAGAAAATCCCAACAATGATTAAATGCTGATAAAAGAATGTTAGAAGGTTAAGATATCAACCAATCAGCCCCCTTACAGTCCTCCTAAATTGTGAGTGGTAAGTATAACTTTGTCCTTTAACATTGAAAATAGGGGTTTTTTGGGGGTTTTTTTTCAGTTGAGGAAATGACTGATGTCAGATTAAGGGGTAAAAAAAGAGTTGGTGGCTAAGACCAAAGAGAATGCAGGAGGTTTGCTTTGCAGTTTCCGTTCTTATCCTAGTCTTTCTTTCATGGTTTTGTCACATTCTTTATCAGTAAATTCTAGGGCTAGTCAAATTTAGATAAAGTTTTATTTATGAGAGGCCCTGAGTTTTGAAGCCTACAGCAGTTTTGAAGTCGTTATTACCCTAAACTCATTTAGTTTAAAAAGTATTAATTCATTTTAACAAATTGTACCACTCTAGTCATAGAATTCATTTATCATTACATTTCCTGCATGATTTTCAGTTCTTTTAAGTTCATACAGTACAGAGGACCCTCCTTTCTAACACCAACCCCCTCACCCCAGTCTATGGGAGGAAGAGCATAGCTAAAGAGACTTAGAAAGGGTAGCTGGCAACCCAGATTACTGGCTTCTTTTCCTTGGAAGAGAGTCTGTAGGTTCATCATGTATCTTCGAAAGCATTTAAGGTGATGGGGACTGTGGAATCAACTTCTCTGAACCTCGTTATTGTGTTTTTAGTGAAACAGGAACGAGGAAGGAGATTCTCTAAGAATCTTGTCAAGAATTATATTTCATGTTGAAGCTTAAGATAATATACTATATCATATAACTTAAATTAATTTTCATGAGCCTGTGTTTTATCACTACTCTGCGTTATTTTTTATAATAGAGCTATAAAATAAAATTCATGGTAAATACATTTTGACCCTTTTCCATCAACAGCTGCTGTGGTGAGGTAGGTCAGGAGGCTTGCCTCTTAGGAGGCACCCTGGGGGTTGAAGGGTAATGAGCACTTAATTATGTCTGCTGAGTGCCAGAGCTGCCAAACTGGAGCTCCTCACCACTGGTCTGTATCTGCTTTGACAATTCTTTTATTATGGCTTTCACTAACCTATCAGTAACTAACTGTGGTTGTTTAATTACAGAGGGAACATCCCCACGCTAAACAGGTACCGTATGTTTAGTTTCTTTTCCAATTAAAAGCAGCTTTTTGTAACTTAGAATAGTGAAATCAGGGGAAAAATAACACTACGCTTGACAAGCTAATATGTTATCTTCTGCTAGGGAGTCCTGAGCTCCCCTTTGGACATACTAAATTATTCTTTCTGTTTGGAAAACATGTCTTCAGCTTTTCTTTAGCTGTTCAAAAAGCAGTACTTGAAAGCCTCAGTATGGAAAAGCTCCCATTTAGCTGTATGTGATAGGGGAGTTGTCTGCTTGATGTTCAGCTTTGCTGTAAACATCTTTTTTTTTTTTGCTACGTTCTCTGTTTAATTTGGGGCTTTCAGAGGAGAAACCTTTAAGGTTACTCGTATCCTGGCAAATTGTTGATAAGTTTTTCAGTTTTTAGTTTCTCTAATTTGCTTCTCCTTTTAGAGGAATGCAGATGCAGAAATAGCTGATCTCATGTTTTATCAGTTTGTTAGCTATTTTTCTAAAGTGTTAAAGTGTTGTAATGATATGAAAGTCAAGTTCTATTTCAGACCTATAGTAAGATTAACGTTGGGAAACTGTATTTAAGTTTTGATGTGTGTAGCCCTCTGAAGAGGTTTCTGGGCCAAAATAACACGAGTGATATTTTAGTATTTTGAGTTCCTCCTGCTCCTGAGCCAAGCAAGGCAACACAATGCAAGTTTGAGAGGACAGCAACTCTGATTGGAATGGAATCCACAAAATGCTAAAGCAGTAATAAGTTGGTGGCGAGCTCTTTGTAGATGATCAATTATACATGGAAATATTTATAGACTTATGTTTATTTTGTCCCACTCCCTTTAAATATTAAGTAATCAGAACTGATTATAGCCTTTAGAGTCCAGTTTTGATGAGGAGAGGAAAGGGAGTACTTCTGTTTGGTCCTCTTGTCTGCCCTTGGAGAATGGGCTTGGTTCATTCCTGCCTACCATTTTCTGTAATCGCCCATGAGTATAGTGGTGGGGGAAGCTGAATAGTGGATATTTCCCATGGGATTCAGTTGAGTAAAAAGAGACTTAACCCCATGTTTGCCACAAACACAGCCTGTTGGCTTATTCAGAGCGAATTCCGTTTACTTGTTGTGTGAAACCCTTTTATCTTTCCTGTCTAATGCCAGACAGGTAGAAAAGTTATACTGCCTCACAAACTTGTTACTTTAGTAAATATATTTGGTGATCCTAGAAAAGAGGATGAAAGCATTTCTGAGTTCATACAACTTTGAATCCCAGTTTCTAGTGAACACCATGTGCATGTCTTGCTTGATGTGTGTTTCATTTGTTTGTTTCATTCATGGTATCAGTGGTTTCCTCTCCCCCTCTGCCTTTCTATTCCCTAGTACTGTCAAAAGGTAAAGTACCTTTTTCATGGTCATCATTTGCCAAAGGAATAAAAGCCTGGAGTGTCAGTCTCTATAGTCTGTGTGAGCAGCACTTCCATTCTATAAAAAATTCCGTTACCTTTTATAATTAAAATTTACAATAGAGTACAATATATACCAGATCTTAAGTCTGCATTGCTGGCTCTCTTCCCCCTGCAACTCTGCAGGTGGTGAACTTCAAGATTTTTGAGCAGCTCCCCCAGGTTCAGGTGCCATTGCATTGCTGTGAACTTGCTTCATATCAGTATGCTGGTAACATGTCAGGCCAGTCCTGGAGGCATCCTTTAGCTTGGTCCTTCCTAACAGGCTGTCCTGATTGACTGGGCTTTCAGAAACACTTTATAGTATTATTTATCAGTACATACTGCTGAGGTGCATCAAAGAATATTCAGATCATTATGTTTTTAGATTGAACAAATCAGTTCAGTTCTCTTCCAGCATCTCCATTTAGCACCTGTTTGTCATGCTTACACATGCTTCGAGACCTATGCTCTGCCCTTTTGTATCTTGCTGAGATTTGTTAAGGGCCTTCGATAAAGATATGTTTACTTTGGTGTAGATGTGTTTAAATGTAAAAAGGAAATTTTGCGATTTGGGGTTGAAAAATGTCTCTTTGAAAAAGGGAGGAGCTGTAATGCTTATAACTGGTATCCCTATCAGCACATTGAAGGAAAAAGTAAATACCTCAGTAAAGTTCCTTTTATAGACTGTAACTTGTTTCTGTATGATAAACAATGTTTTTTATAATGATTTACTAAACCATTCCAAGTGACTGAGAGTTGTTGTTGTGCGTGCATATATCTATCTGTGCATACTTAATCTATTGCAATTCCTAGAGAAAAATGTCTTAAGTGTTGCCTAGTTACAACTCACTTGGCATGCTGACTTCCTTTTACAAGAGGGAATGTTTTAGGGAAGGGGAAGATGCAGGATGGTTTTTAACCCTGTGTGCTGTTCATTCATTAGACATGTCATAATGTTGTATTAAAACTGCTGTGAAATTCCTGATAGTCTTTAATTTTTATTTGGAGAAATTTTGGGGTGGTAAAAATATGGTTTGTATTGGCAGCAGTTCAAATAAAAAGGTTAATGTGAATCTAGCAAGACAGCCTTATCCACAATGGGTAAAAAACCAAATCTGCTCTTCAACCTAACCCTACCTCAGAGTTTTCTCCTAGCTCCTTTTTCCTATTGTTACTCTCCCAATCCTTGCTCCTACCCTCCTTGTCTAACGCACTTGATTGAATTACCGTTTAGAATGTCCTTCTCCTCCAACCTCAACCACTATGGCATGACTCATGTAGCTAGTGTCAGCGATGTGCTATTGGACAACTCCTTCACGCCACCATGTCAGAGGATGGGCGGAATGGTCTCTTTTCGGACTTTTGAAGATTTTGTCAGGTAAGACACCATGGAACTGTGTCTGTACAAGGGGAGCCATGGGCATCTCTGTTTTGGGGTCTCAGATTTCTGCCAAATGAATAAAGGTCCCCAGGATAGCCATGAGCTGGCTAAGGACATGTAGCCCTTGCTGTATACGCCCTTGGAGAGGTATATATCCTTTCATTTCCACCTCTCATTCAGACTCTGCAAGCCTCTACTTGTTATATGAGCCTGGTCAGAAAAAAAAGAAACAAACAAAAACCATCTTTTCCTTAGGAGCTAACAGAAGAAGCTGTCTGCTCTGTGATGAGTGAAATGTCAGGAGAAATTAAACACAACACTAGAGTGAGCCCCACCAGAGACGATACATCTTTTGATTAAATGCATTCAGCATCTATCTCTTGATGTATACTGATGCATTACCCTAGGGGGAGGGGTAATTACATTGGTCTGTCACTGCTCCAGTCCCAGGCTCTTTCTGTTACTTTAAGACTGATGATGACAGCAGTACTCATATCTTACATACGAAAAAAACAAAGCAAAGAGCTTTACATCATTCTTTTTTAAAAAGAAAAAATATATATGGTTTATTAAAGTTTAAACAATCCATCCTCCTAATTTCTGCCACTTGGCGAAATTTTGCATGTCACCTCTAGCCACTGGTGGTTCTATTCAGTTGACTGTTGAGTACAGGGTAGGGTAGATTATTCTTTTAGACTGAGCTGGCAATGGCGGTGTTAGTTTCCTGCCACTTAGGTTTTCTGCCACTTGGGTTTTCATGGTAGGTGTTTCTCTGATATTTTTCAGGATCTTTGATGAAGTGATGGGCTGCTTCTGCGATTCCCCACCTCAAAGCCCCACATTCCCTGAGGCAGGTCACACATCTCTGTACGATGAAGACAAGGTATAGTGTCACCTTTGTTCCTTTAGACATAGGATTTGTACCATATTCTATCTTTCTGACTTTGGCACATTATAGGGAAGAATTCATCTTTGTGTGTGCGTGTGTGTGTGTGAGGAAGATTGGCCCTGACCTAACAATGGTTGCAAATCTTCCTCTTTTTGCTTGAGGAAGATTGTCGCTGAGCTAACATCTGTGCCAATCTTCCTCCACTTTATGTGGGATGCCACCACAGCATGGTTTGATGAGCAGTGCTAGGTCCACGCCCCAGATCCAAACTGGCAAACCCCAGGCCACTGAAGCAGAGCGTGCGAACTTAACCACTCTGCCACCGGGCCGGCCCCCAAGAATTCATCTTTTTACTCTACTTTATATTATTTAAATTTCTCTGCCTCATCCAAGTATTTCTGGAAACAAGTGGAATATGAATAAATTCTAACCTAAAGAAAGCCTGTATTAATCTTGGAATCCATAGTGTAGAATGGGCTCAACTATACCCATTGCAGTTGCCTCTGGGTCTCTAAATGTTTTTTCAAAGACTTGAGCTTTGGTTGCTTTAATTCTTACTTAGTGATGGCTTGTGTATTTGCAGAGTGGTGCTGTTGTAGTCTTCAGGGAATGATGGACTTTAGAAGATAGCAGGAAAAAATAGACATTTTGTTTAAAACTTTGTCCTTTTATTAAATCCCTCCTTTTCATTTCTCGGTAAACAATTTGTTCTATTTTGTTCCTTACCAGCTATTTTCCCATGGTCTGATACTTCCATTGTTTGATAAATTGCTAGGAAATATAATATATGGGAATGTGTGCACATGGCCTCTTTCACTCATTTTTCTTCACATTCTGTGAAGAGATGTGGCAAATGGTTTCATTCCCATTTTATTGGTGAAAAAGTTGAGACATAGTGGTCTTCAAGGTCATGTCAAGTCAAGATTTGGAGCCACCTCTAGCTAATGCCTTTGCTGCCTTGTCTTTTAAGTTAGGTGTTTTACTTGATTTAATCTTAGTTGTAGATGCTGGGCAGTGGTTTCAATTTGCTTATTCGTACTAGTGGGCAAACCAAAATGTCCTCTGGGGCATATCTCTTTTTCAGGTATTCTACCAAGCACTGTAACTTCTCCCTGCCTCTGTATTAGCCAGCCTCCTAATTTCTCTGTCTTGTGTTCTTGGGTTGCAGGTCCCCAGGAATGAACCAATTCATATTCTGAATGTGGCTATCAAGACTGATGGTGATATTGAGGATGATAGGCTGGCAGCTATGTTCAGAGAGTTTACCCAGCAAAAGGTAAGTCCTCAGTTGGGTAGAAACTGGTGATGGCCTGTTTCCTGCTGGTTGTGTGTCATCCTTTCATCAATGCTACTTGTAAGGCCTATCACTGATAATGGCTGTGTCTTTTACATAGTTCTGCCTATATGAGTAAAATTCCAAAGTGATTTAATAGTATATAATGAATTTCTTTTTATGTCAAAAAATATTGACCTCAAATATTTAAAATATAGACCTCAAATATTTAAAATGTTTTAAGGAAGGGAAGTTGTGTTCCTAAATCTTTCCCAGAGCTCCAGTCTTGAACTTCCAGTCACCTGCTGAATTTTTTTTTTTGGTGACTTAACTCTTAAGTGTCCAGGCCCAAACTCCCCTCAGGTCTGTTCTGCCTCTCCCTTGAAAATATGAGTTATACTTCCATCCTCCTTTCAACTTTATGTCACTTAGATATCTCATGTCGACATCAAACTCTATAGTTTAAACCTAAATTCTCATCATTTTCCTTCATCTCTTCTGACCTCCCAAGCCCCCCTCAAAGAAAAGAAAACAAAAACAAAAAAAATCCAAGCAACCAAACCCTGTCTCCCTAGTTGTTCAGAAATCATGACGACTTCTGTTTTCTTGCTGTCCATTGTTCCATCCTCTACCTGCCATGTGTACATGTTTATTTGTATCTGGTCAGTCACCAAGGTCTGTTAGTTTTTTCTTTGCAGTGTCTCCTACTCTTTCTCCTTTTTGGTTTTTTAATTCCTACTACCATCTCTCTAGTGTAAAACCTTACTCACCTCACACCGGAGACACTGCAGTAGGTATACTTTTGAGCTGTGTATCTTCCTTAAGTCTCCCCGTCCAGACTTTCCCTTCTGCTCACCACCAAAACTTAAATGTACAAAATACCCCCTTACCAAGTTATTCTCCCACTCAACAGCAATTCCCTTTTACATTCAAGATACCTCCTTAACTTGATATTTACCATCAGCCTATCATTTTTGAAGGCTAACAAGCTAGCCTTTGCTGTTCCATGAAAAGACCTAAATCATTTTCTCATCTACCTTCTATAGAAAGACTGTCTTTTCTACTGCCCCTCACCTGGAATATTTTCGTCTTTCTTTCTTCCTTTTCTTCTTCCTTCCTTCCTTTTTTATGCTTGTTTTCAGAACAGTCTCAGATTTCAATTTTATCAGGGCTTCTCTGAGTAGCCCTAACTAAAGTCTGTTTTTCTCCCTTCAATTTCTAATCATTCAATGTACATTTATTAGCAATAATAAGACTTTTTATTTATAAAGAACTTCCATGTGAATTTTCTTATTTGCACCTTACCACAATCCCATGAGGTTAGATTAGTTAGGATTTATTCCAATTGTACACATCGGGAAAAGCTCAAGCTCAGAGAGATTAAGGCTCCTTGGTCACCGGCTGGTAAGTAATAGAGCAAAGACTAGAATTTAAGTCTTTGATGCCAGCTTTAGGGGCCCAGAGCTAGGTGCTTTAGTGATAGTACATTCTTAGCCATGAAGATGCTTATAGTCTAGTTCAGGGGACGGGTTAGACCTGCTCAAAACAATAATCTATAGTTACATTTCATTGTGATACATGATAGATGCCAAAGCACCCCTCTTCAATTGCCCTTAGTGACAAGACCCATGTGTTTCTTTTGAATGGAAAGCACCCAGCCCATAGTGCTTATTATAAAGAAAGAATCCAGTAGATGTTTTTAAATTCAATTCAGCAGTGTAAACAATTAGTGCCATAGGCATTCACATCATGTAATGCTAATGGTAGCTACCCAAGAAAAGATGGTACCTTTGTGCTTAACATGTCTTATTAGCATTTACTCCATGATGCTCTCACAGCACATAAACTGTGAGATTGCAGTAGCCAACATGGGGAAAAGGTACTTCCAGAGAAGTGAAAATAAGAGATATGCCTGGGAATTTCCTTAGAAGAGTACTTTACTCTCTTTCTGGCCCTTGACTAGTGACCACATAAAATTAACCTAAGACCAGTGACCAAGGTAACTTTAGCTAGAAGAGTCCTAATGTTGTGCATGGCTGCTAATTCTGCTGCTTGATGAGATAATTTATGAAAGTTTCTTCCCAGGTTTTGAGGCACTGGGTTGACTGCCCATATTTGATTGTTTTGACTTCACTTTAGGCTTTTTATTACCCTCAGATCTAAGTGTTATGTATCATCACACATTGATTTAAAGAGGGAGTTTCTTCATTTTCACCATATATATTTGTAACATTAATTGGCAATAAGAAATTACTTTTTTCTTTTACTGGACTTGTAAACTGAGGCACAGAGAGATCCAGTGTCTTTGCCTGTGGCTGTTCAGGAGGGTAAGGGTAGACTGTGCTGACATGCCAAGCCTAGAGAAGCTATTAACTGCATCAGGTACTGTGCTTATCCAGGAGTATTTGCCGTCTTCACCTCCTTGTTTTGAAAAAAATATGAAAAGGAAAGGAAGGAAAAACAATTTAAAAAAAAGCTGAAGTGATAACTAGTTTTGTTTTTCACTTCATAATCATGCTCCTAGCAGTTTAGAAAAAGTTTTTTTTTTTAAAGCACACATTAAACTATCAAATAGGTTGATCCAAATTGTCCAAATAATCTTCTAGTCCCAGCATGTCTTTTTTTTCTCTCATAGAAATTAGGATCATATATTTGTAAATGACTTGTGGAGGAGATTGAAGCAGTCAGTGTAAATGGAGTTTCTCCAGGTGCTGACGCCTAATCGCTGGGTAATAGCTGTGGACTTGCTGTGAGACCCGCATTATTACAATGTAATCAGAATCCTGTTGCTCTGCCGTTATTGTCAGCCACTTGTGGAATTTTAAAAGCAATAACAATTTTGACTTTAAATCATGGCATTATTAAAGTTATTTTCTTGCCTTGCCAGAACATAGCTATTGATGCTTGTCTTTGAAGGACTTGGCTGTAGTGGAATTCTTTGTTGGTGTCAGAAGAAACATTTCTGTTCCTGGGCACAGTGAGAGACTGAGAACCGCCATCCGCCCACCACATACCACCCCTTTCTTTCAGCACAGTTTTTTCTTATTGTAGTATCAGTACTTGCTTATTTACACTAATGGGTGTGATGCAAGTACAGGTCATTTTTAAATGTGGTTAGACCAAAATTTGTTTATATATGACCAGGGAATTTATTATTAGAAAATTTATTTTTCTAGTTATCTTTTGCTTATGCTATTAATTTTATTTTCAAGCAAATGCCATAGCAGAAATGGAGAAATAGGTGGAAATGGCCCAGGAATATGCTTGTTTATATGGAAGGCCAATTTGGATTTAAAAAATATGTAATATCATGAAAGTTAAGAATTGGCTTATGAACTTAGCTCTTGGTTAGAGTATATAGCAAGGAATGTGATCAAACTAAAGTCTGGATGTAGGTTGTGAAAGTCTACGTATTTTTTTCTATTTATATTATTCATGCATTCTCTCAGGTCATCCAACTAGTAGGATTGCTTTTCTTCTTGTTGCCATGTAGCCCCTCTTTGTTAGGGACCTTTCAAAGCATGCCTTTTATTTATTCATTAATCTGTTTCTTTGTCTCTGCCTTTTGAGATAAGTGAGCAGCGCAGGGTAGGGGAAGGCTTAGATCCAAAGGCCCAAGACTCATATAAGGGGCTGTCTTGAAACCGATGATCTCTATTGACTTCTAATATACTACTCCCCTGTGCCCAAATGGCAATATGAGTAATCACTAAATTTAAAAGCCTGTTAAATATTGCTTTTAACAATTTTTAAAGAGAATATTTTTAAAAGTACCTTAATGTAAAGTAGGGGGAAGTATTTTAGAAGAACTGAAAAGGTCAGAATTTGTTAGCTTGAATTCTAGGAATGCTGTATCTGATGGTAGGTAATATTAATAATCTAAACAACAGGATAGGACCAGAATTTTCTCTTTTATGGAAATTTTCTCTTTTCCCTCTGCTTCATTTCTTTTAGCTTCGGTATTTGTTAATCTTCGCATTTGAATACTTGCCCACCAGTATGATTTCTATTAGCAGAAATTGTGTTAAGGTCTACCTTGATGTGAATTAGTCCTTAGATAATTTAGGTAACCTCATGTGACCCTTTCTCCTCCACAAAGTTCCCTCTCATCTTTGTTCAGATCAATATAAAACCTATTCCATAAGACTTAGTCCCAGGAACCAGGTTGAGATTTGTTTATTTGCAAGTTTGAAGGTATTGAGCCAAGATGTGGGTATCCAACAAGGGTGCTTAGCCCAATTCCTTACGAGGATCAAGTGGGGTAAAATTTAGGATGAATGGAGATCTCATTTAGCTTCTGTTTTACATGTTTGTTCATAGAAATCTACCCTGGTTGAGCATGGGATCCGGCGCCTTACGTTCCTGGTTGCGCAAAAGGTACTGGTGTGTGAATTATACCTCTCTAATATTTTTTATGGTGCTACTAGAATTTTTTAAAATAAAATGGAATTATAATCATATGCTTACATGTAGAATTTATGCAGAAAATAACTTTTTTTATAAATTTAAGAAAAAACGTTAGTTTACCTCATCACCTTTTACTCAGTTTGTTTTTAATTTTATTACTAATTTCCAGCTTCTGCTGTTTTTTCTTCCTTTCTGTCTCTCATTTGAAAGGATTTCAGAAAACAGGTCAACTATGAGGTGGATCAGAGATTTCATGTAAGTAAAAGAAACAATAACGAAAGATTACTTACTGTTATACCTGTTTGCCACTGATTATGTAAACATAGAATTTGTGTGAGTTATTTAGAAGGGCTGGATTAATGTTTGCTCCCTCTTGTTTTAGAAAGTAGTATCATGAATATTCAATTCTTCTATGGAGTATTCAAGCTAAAGGGTTTTTTTTTTTCTTTTTTCCCTCTATAACGAATTCTCAGTATATCTCTGAGAAATAGTTAAGAATGAGTATACGCATTTATGCAGATGAATAAGGGAGAAGCAGGACCTAATTAGTAATTTCTTCTATGCACACAGTGAATCAATAGTCAGGAACTGCCAGTTGCACTTTTGGGTCTTGGCTTCTACCAAAGATGGATTCAGGTTCGATTACTAAGAATTCTCAACTCTGAAAAACAATTATTTATTATTTAAAATTCTTTAACAGGGTCCAAATTGATAGTGTTGTCTTAAGTTAATTCTAGGAGCAGGCAATAAATAAAAATTAAGCATTAAGTTGCTTATTCTCCCATTTAAGTGAGTTAACTGTTAATATTAATGAGATTGAACATTTTATTGAAAAAAGAATTAAGGTAATAGCCTGGTGTCTGAAATGATCATAGCCAGTAGGATGATAGCAATAAGGCCAAAAATCCGGTTTGTAAACAAGATGTCATTCTCTAGAATGACTGATTGTAGTGAAAATATTTCTTTAAAAATTGATCCTAATGTAGCTAAGTAACATTCCAGGGGATGTTAGGAAGTCTTAATTTTCCTGATAAGAATTTGATTTTGTTTTGTTTTAGCAATTAAGATGATTAAGTTAGTTTTCAAGCTCTACCCATTTGCAATAATGGAGGTAACATTTGAGATTCCAGAAAGGACTTTCTAAACTCAAGGACTTATGTGTGATTGCCTTTATTGCCCTTTTGTTTATTAGGTCTCTTGCACTTGGCATTTTGTTTTCTTTCTCACAGTTCACCTTATTGAGAAACAAGAGAACCTACCCTGCAAACTAAAGAGCTAAGATTTTCTGAAATGCTTTAGAAAACGTTGTGGACCGCACAACTCCCCTGTATTATTGATGTCAAGAAATCAAGCAGAGTGCAGAGATATATCAATCAATGACTTCAGATAGGAAACTGGAGACAGTGAAGAAGAATGAGAAGCTTAAAGAGAACCCTGGGACTTTAGGAAGAAAAATCTGGAGCTTAGAGAATAAAATTGATACTTGGGGATAGAATAGGAGAGCCCATGAATAAATGTTGTGGTTGGTAGATGCAGATCAGAGCTAAGGTAGACATGCCAGAGCCAGACCCTGGACTTGGGAAGAGTCTTGGGCTAAGTTCTTAAGCGTTAACGTGATTTCATTTGCTCACTGAGTTTGGAATAATATGTAATCTGGGAAATAGTACAGAATTTGTAAAATTGTTTTCCTTTTTCCTAATGGTTCAGATGGAATCTTCATGTCCATAGCACATTAATGGTTTCCTGTAATAAGCATTCTATGGTAAATTAAAACTCTCCAGTGAAATTTTTAAAAAGCCAAAGTGATTAATTCTCAGAGACTTTTTTTGTGTGTTTTATACATACTAAAAACCCTTTCTTTGAATCTTAGAGTATATCTACAGCTTTAAAACATTTTATCTTCTTCCTGCTAGCCTAATATTTCTGGATTTAGGTTGAATAGGGACATGTATAGGCAAAATCTACTGGGAAATGCGCCCAGAAGTGGGTCTTCCCTGGGAATCATTGTCCAGTTCCTATTTACAGTGATATCAGATGGGGAAATCAGTTAAATTATCAAGTGACTTGGTTTGTCATGAGTGTAGGAAAGGTTGTTTTAGGACATAAAAACATTAAGGTTTAGGTGTGAACTGGATTTGCTCTGAAGAACTGAATGGCAGAGGAATTGGGGTGTTTTTATGTTAGCCCCCTTAGAAATGACTAGTGGTTACACATGGGGCAAGGGCAACTATTACTGAACTCTAGCCAGCATCTCCCATAGCCAGGAAGCCTTGGCAGAAGCTGTACAAATCCGGGGCTCACTGCCATGGTGCTGCTATGAGTTCCTCTGCTGGTGGTAGCTTGCCATTCATGGAGAATGCTTAGCCTCTGTCATGTCATCTGATATGTGTTTGCCCCATAGTTAGTGTAGTGTGAAAAAGAGGAAGCTTTCTGGGAGTGTTAGAGATGAATCCCTTGATCTCTCCGGCTTTTTCGGTAATCCACTGTGATGTATGCAGCCTCCCCTGTTCTACACTGTGAAATCCCTATATTATTGAATAGACGAGAGAATGCACACATGACGGGGCAAGGAGAGGAGGAAGGTTACTAAGTTAGGTTCAAGAGCAGTGTTGGCTGGTGTGGAATGAAGCAGCTGTGCTATTTCACAGTCGTCATCTCTCAGACTGCTTCAGAACCAGAATAAGGCAAATGAGGACCAGAGTAGAGAGTGTGTATATTCCTAAAAAGTGTGTATATTGTTAGGTGTTTACTCTGATGCCAGTGAAGGCTATAAGCATTTCCAAAACTTCCTTGTTTAATCACCTCAGTCCTCAGAGAGCTGTCCACTGCAATGTCTGCTGCTGCCTTAGTCTCTTGACTCTAGATGGAGACTATTCTGAGTGAGCAATATTCACCAGCATTAAGGAGGCTTGGTGTCATCTATTTCCATAACCATCTAATTAAATCAAGTACCCATAATGGGACCTGAATAACTGCTTAACATTGATATTTAAGCAGAAAGTTTGAGGAAAAACTAGTCTTATCCTTGTAAATATTTCCTTCATATTAAATAAGAAAAAAGATTAAAACCTTGAAAGCAAATGAACAGGCTCTGAATTTCTGCAGCTATGTAAGCTGCAGTTCTCCAGTTTTATGTGGGATTAAGTTTCTGTTCACTCACTTTTCAGATCTAGAATTCCAAAAAGTGCAGCAGAAGGTGCTGTTTAATTGGAATGTAAGTTTATACTTTTTGAAGCTTTCCCTATTTTTTTCGGCAAAGTTTTGTTAAGGATACTAAAATGATTATTTTCAGGATTTCTTCTTATCCTTTGCCACCTAAACAAAAGTATTAGATTCAAAAACTGTGATGAGATTCTAAATCAGTTTTGCATCTGTTAAGTTTCCTTTTGTTTCTTGTTTGTAAGATTTTATGAGATTTTATCAATTCTGCTATAAATCACCTAGAAGATAGTGGTAGTTTCACTGATTTTTATGTGAATGACTCTCACTTTAAAATTAAATGTTTTGGATATTTGGGCTTGAAGGAGGAACCCACTCTCTAAACAATTATCATGGTTAGTAGTTCATTTCTTTAAAAAAAAATTGATATGTTAATTATATCTCAATAAAGCTGGAAAAAATTGGTAGTTTTCTTTGCTAGTGGATCAACTATTAGTTTTTCAGAAGGTTTGGTTTGGGTTTTTGTTTTAATTACAGTCTATATAATTAGTTCTCAGCATGTTGAGGTAAAAGAGAATTGCACCAGCAAGCTTCCAATTTCTTCATCTCATTAGGTTTTTAACACGATTATTAGTATCATAATCAGCTATGATGTTTTCTGTTGCAGGTTTTCACATTCTCTGATTTGCAGGGTGTCTTGATTGGCTAATTTAGGCGAATTATTTTGATTGTCTGGATGATGGTTGGTTGATTAGAACACAGCAGGGGTATAATTCCTTCCTGAGAAATGTTGCATTCTTTTGTTTTTTGGTACCAGAACACTAAGAGGGTTTTTCTTTGTGTACATTCAATTATGATATTTGCCCATAACACTAGTAGAGTGCCAGGAAAGCAATTACATTAGTGATTGAATAAGCATGAATACTGTTAGTGGAAAAATTGGCAGTATAAGGATAAGGTAGGATAAAAGAATTTTCTAAAACTTACAGGATCAGACATTTGCGTTTCTTCTTTTCTATGTTGCTGTGATTTTTGAGTGCCAAAAAAGGTGACTTCTATAAAAGTCCTCAGACTTCCATTTCTCCCAAAGAATTACTCATTAATCCTGCTTTCTCGTTGCACAGAAGTTCTTGCCATCTCTTAATCTGAATGCTTCAGTGCTGAAATCGAGGGCTATACTGTGGAGTTAAAAATTTACTTAAAAGTTAAAAAAAGTTTTCTTATATCATCTCATAACACCTTTTCTTAGCTAACCTTAATGAAAGTGATTTTTCTGATTGGTAGTCTTTTCCCACCTCTGCCAAGAATTAGTCAATCTCTTTCATGATTTGTAATAAAGCTATGTCCATTCAAATTGTTTGGTTTTTCATGCTCTCAGTTACTATAAATTTTCTTAATTGGTTTAATGGTAAAGGAAGTGTTTTTTTCAGTTACTATCATTGTGTTTTTGAAGAAAAATGATTCTGATCCTACAACAGTACAGACTTGAATAAATGATATATAAAATAAGTATTTCATTTAACTAATTAATTAATTAATAGTATAGCAGAATACAAGAGTTGTGCCTAAAAGATTATATTATCACTTTCGTTGACTTTTCAGGAAATTTCATGGAAGGATTTTGTTACCCGTCCTTTTTACTCATGTCACTTTTCACCTAATGCTCCGAAAGCCATACCTCTCAAAAATAAAACCCAAACTAGACTGCGTAAAGGCCTGAGCCTGAAATCAACTGACAGCTCAGCTGAACACCTTATGGCTTAACCTTCAAGTCATCCTCATGTTCTTCACTATCATTTGGGGAATTAGAGAACTATTTAGAAGGAAAACATCATCAGTAAAAGATCAGTGCTGTGTAAAATCCACTTTCAGAGGGCTTTTAAAGACAAGGGGTTCCCTGGGCTTGCTAAATAAGCTCCTAGAAGCCTATTAAATGCAGTTTTACAATTAAAATGCCAAGGAAAATTTAAAAAATTTGTTAACTGCACAAGCTATACTTAAGGTGAGGGTGAGGCATAATACCTATGGAAAGTATTCAAGAAGTTCTCAGTAAATTCAAGAACCACAAGTTTTCAGCATGAGTGTTGCTTTGTGTTTTGCTTTTTTTCTTTAAAGTCTTAGTTTGCGTTTTTTGTTTCATCAAAGAAAAGTCCTCTAAATAAGGAATTTGGATTATAACAAGAATATAAAGGGAATGTCCTCCAATTGAGAGGTAGAGTGGTAGAGATGAAAGGGCCTAGGCTCTGGCAATAGAGAGACCCAAGTTCACATTCTGGCTCTGTGATCCTGGGCATATCACTTGCTCTAGGCTTCCTCAGCTGTAAAATGGGATCGTAATACCTACTTCAAGAGGTTGTTGAAAAGGGGACAACACATGAGAGTGCCTGCTACCTAGAAGGCTTTTAGTTCAGGTTTCCTTCATGGTTCCTAAAGCTCATTGAGGGATATTTAGGCAGTTAGTCCTGGTCTCTCAGCCTTGTACCAATAAGTGTTTGATTATATTGCACTCATAATGAAGATGCCTAATGAAACCTCCTATAGAGGCAAATAGTAATGACTTGATTCCAACACTGCCAGTAGAGCCCATCCGAGAAACAGGGGTATTTGGTGTTAATAAGTTAAATTTCAGAAACTAATGGGCTCTGCTAATTGAATTCATCTTTGTTAATTAATAAGGTTCTAGTGAATTGGTTGCTTTCTTTTGTAATGCCCTGCAAAAGAGCAGTAAGACCAAATGATTGCAAGTTCACTAGTTTCACCCCATTCTTGCCTATACATATAGTGGTAGTGACCAAAATAGCATTTTGTACTTTTCTTTGTCTGGAAATGTTGTTGTTTAAACCCTTGAAATTATTGACTCGAGAGTGAATGTGGAAAAAAACCATGAATTGGGGAATCTATGCTTTCTGGTTAGTTTACATTTTAAGAGTTCCTTAAGGAGAAACTTGGGAAATCAGTCTGTAACTACTGTTGCAGTGCTGCAGCATAAGGGTATGTTGGCTTTATTTGCCAGGTTGTGCCAAGAGCAACACCCAGAAAGATTTTTGTTTTTTCATCTGGGAAATGAAAAAATACTAATTTTTTTTCCTAGGAGGGGGTAGCTATTGAAGTTAGGTTAATAGTGTGGTGATTCTCAAATTTGGAAGTGGGATCAAAGTGATGGTTACCCAGAAGATCGTTCATATTCCCTGGGCTAAGCTAAGGTAACAAGCATGTTTTCTAGGAAACTGTCTTCTAGTTGCTTGACTGCTTCTGTACAATGTGTTTATCCCCAAAGAGCCATATCTATGAAGGACTGACGCATTTTCCCTTTCTTTAACACAGAGAGAGTTCCCTAAATTTTTCACGTTCCGAGCAAGGGATAAGGTAAGAACTGATTCCCTCCTTCTTTTCTTTTTTCTTTTTATTTTTTCCTTAAAACCTCAAGAGTGGCTTATCTTTGCCATATGCTCTTCTTACCATTCTCCTTTCTCTAATTAAACTTGTACTTCCCTTTGCCTTACATGTATCTTAGAACTAAAGAAGACTCCCTTCTGAAAGAGTTTGGTTTAGGAAACAATCAAATGTATTGACTTATCCAAAGAAAATAATAACTTTCAAAATCATCCCTGTGCTTTAGGACAGTCCTAAATGATGTGATATTAAAGGACTACTATACTTAGTAGGATTATTCTTGTTACCTGTAGATAGTTCATTGATACTCAAGCTTTGTTTATATGCATTTGTTTTTCGATTTTAAAATGTGAAATTTCAGACCATTTTGCTTTCTTCCTATTACCAGCTCATATTTTTGGTGCTCTCTCTCCATTCACTTAGTTGACATGTACTCTGGAAACACAATTTAGTTTCAACAAAACGTACAAAGTAAATGTGAATACAACTTTTAAAAAAGATACATAAATAATTAAATATCTATGGATATAGTATATTCTGAAGCTGAATATCTCTACTTTTAAATATTATATGATGTTTATTTGTCAGGTATTTACTATGTCCTTTGTACTGTGCCAGAGATGATAAAAGTATAAGACAAGGGGGCCAGCCCTGTGGCGTAGTGGTTAGGTTTGGCATACTCCACTTTGGCGGCCTGGGTTCACAGGTTTGGATGCTGGGTGCAGACCTGTACCACTCATCAGCCATGCTGTGGCAGCTACCCACATACAAAATAGAGAGAGATTTGCACAGTGGTTAGCTCAGGGCGAATCTTCCTTGGCAAAAACAAATTTTTTAAGTATAAGACAGGGGCTGACCTGGTGGCACAGCAGTTAAGTGCACATGTTCTGCTTCAGCGGCCCGGGGTTCGCTGATTCGGATCCTGGGTGCAGACATGGCACCTCTTGGCAAGCCATACTGTGGTAGGCGTCCCACGTATAAAGTAGAAGAAGATGAGCACAGATGTTAGCTCAGGGCCAGTCTTCCTCAGCAAAAAGAGGAGGATTGGCAGTGGATGTTAACTCCGGGCTAATCTTCCTCAAAAAAAAAAAAAAAAATTAACAATAAAGTATAAGACATGGATCCTGCCCGTAAACATTTTAGACTAGTTGGGTAAACTCAAAACACTGGTATGTGAAATAGATGTGAATGTGAAGCAGTCTGTGGTTAATTGTAAAAAATGAATTATAAATACATTAAATACCATAGGAGTTCTGAGGTAATTGATGTTTTTTGTTTGTTTTTAGTGGAGAGCAGCACTACTTGTAAAAGTATAAATGATGAAGCTTGGGAAGTAAATAGGTGCTTTTGTGCCTAATCTTATGTAAGCTACAGCATTATCCTTATATACAGCTCCTTTTTTTCTTTTTTGCTTATTAGCACATCATAGCTTATGTTTCTATTTTTAAGCACTTCTTTTATGTATACATTTATAATATAATTTTGTAATTGCTTCTTGTGAGCTGTTTTTTTTTTTAATCCTTATACTCAGTTTGAGGAGGATCGTATCTATCGTCACCTGGAGCCTGCCCTAGCTTTCCAGTTGGAGCTAAACCGCATGAGAAATTTTGACCTTACTGCCATTCCATGTGCTAATCACAAGATGCACCTGTATCTTGGGGCAGCCAAGGTGGAAGTGGGCACAGAAGTGACAGACTACAGGTTCTTTGTTCGTGCAATCATCAGACATTCTGATCTGGTCACCAAGGTGGGTGCTATACCTTCATGGGAAGTTATCCTTAAAGCAAGAGACAGAGAAACAGGCATGGTTCAAAATCAAGTTTTCATCTTTTGAATCAAGGCTCTTGTTCTCAATCATCCCACTCTCCAATAACCAGCAGAAATATGAGAGTTATTTCCCTCACAGAAATAAATATTCTATATAAAAAGGGCTTTTTTTTCCTTTGATTTTTCTTGGTAATGGAAGCATGATAGCACTCACTTGAGAAAAGGAAAAGCATGCTAACAGAAAAACCAGAGGGAGAATTAGGTGATGATAGAGGATAAGTAGAAAAGTTAGAGGTGACCGCTTTGTAAACCTCTCTAGAGGTGGGGTGGTTTCTGTACACAGCAAAGCGCTTCCTAGTGTTAGTTATTACTGCATCCTATAGCCATAATCCTTCTTCACCTTTTCCTTTCTAAGCAGATTTCCTTTCAAAACTGTTCTATTTGGCATATATGGGGATGCCCAGCATCTCCACCTATTGGAAGGAAATGATACACTAAGAGGCAAGAGGAAGGGCTGGCAGGAACTCTTTATCTGACCCTTCTCTGCCTTTCTGCCTGTGGTCACTGGGTTGACTCTAGGGAGAAAGGTAAATAACATCTGCAGCAGGTGCCTTATGATTCATGATATACCACTGCTTAACTAATTATGGTGGCCATTTCTTTATTGCCTCTTTTAAAACACATTAATGTTGATGGTGATTTTCTTCCTACATAGGAAGCTTCTTTTGAATATCTACAAAATGAAGGGGAGCGGCTACTCCTCGAAGCCATGGATGAGTTGGAAGTCGCTTTTAACAATACAAATGTCCGTACTGACTGCAACCACATCTTTCTCAACTTTGTCCCCACGGTCATCATGGACCCATCAAAGGTGCATTTCTCCTTAGCTTCTCTACTAGCACTAGCAACACAAGCAGAGAGAGTCATTCTTATTTGTTCGCACTTAGACCTGGAAACTGGTACTCTTGGTCAGCTGGTTGAACCCTGGATCTTTAAAATTTACAGAGTGCATATGAGACTGAGTTTCTGGGATGGTGTCAAAAATTTGATATAGCCGTTGAAAGCAGACCTCAAAACTGAAGGTGGTATACTGTTATCTTGCTGGTCATTTATAAGTAATACAAAAATATAAAACCTCTTTCTTTTCTTCTGTTGATACCTGTTTTATGATATTTGCCATGATAGTGGTCTTATTTTATATAATCCCTTAGGATTTCTCATCTGGAGTAATTAACTTTCCTATTCTTGGGCATTTTGGCAAAATCACTGCCTCTTTGTACTAAATGTTACTTAACCTGGCGGCCTTAGGGAGGTAATGCACCTTCCCAAAGTGTCTAACCTATTTCTCTCTAGTGTTTTTCCACAGGGAAAGAACTTGGTTGATAAGGAGTTTCATATATATTATGTATGTTTTCTTCCCTGATGCTCTATTCTAAAATGCATTCCATATAATTTAATGAAGGAAAACAAGGTGATTCTGTACTTGACCTTTTATCCCACGTGTAATAAAGACAGGCTACTCTCTGTCTCTGCTCCTTCTAACCTTTTCCTGTCATGATATTTTGGAATTTGGTAGGAGAACCCTTTTTCAAGGTCAGTTGTGGGCATAGTCTTTTTCTTTTCGAACTTAGTACCTAAGACCTGAGAAATCGTTTTCTACTTTTTTTCTTCAAGACTGCAAGCTACTGGTCAGTTGCTTTAGTCTGTCGGGAAAGCCAAGACAGGGCTACTCACTGAGTATCAAGTCCCATCATCTAGTTTAAGCAAGGTTCTTCTGAGTATTCTGGGACTGGCAAAGCCGGAAGACTTAAAACATGGCCTGGATGCTATAGAACAATATATATTTTTAGATTTGACTTCCCATTTCCCAGTGAGTATTTTATATCAGCCTCTCAGCTTCCACTCCAAACATCCATATGCCCTTGCTCTGCCTGTCTAGTCATAGACAGCTATCAATTTCCTGTGTATAGAGATTGTTGACTTTTGTTCCCTTGAGAAAAGAATGGGTATGTATCTCTTGGTTAACAAGCAAATGTGGGAATAGAGAAGTTACCTCCTTGAAACTCATTCTAACCTAAAATTCTGTGGTACAGAAACAAACCACAAAGGTGGCACATACTCCTGAAGACCCACAAGAGGAGGGCAGTATGAGATATTTTTGAGATTTTTAAGATGTTATGAAAGCATTTTAGAAAGATGATTTAAGAAAACATTAATTTTGAGTAGTATGTCCTAGCTGCCTACAGCCATATTGGAAAAAATTTTTTTGCTTTAGTATATCAATAAAGAGAAACCACATCTAAGGCCATATGGTTAAATAACTCCCCTAACCCTGAAAACTAGGAACACTAAGCTGCCTTGGTATAAAGCTTAGAGAAACTAGGGAATGTCTGCCCCGTCTACTTAAAGCCCAGTTGGACGTGGCAATGACCAAGCATCAGAGCTCTCTTTAGAGAGAACATTCTAACACCACCTACAAATTGCCTTTCTTTAATTCATGCAATTTACCAAGAAGCATATATTATAAAGTTTAATAAAATTGTATGGAAAAAAGCTCATGGTAGTAATTGCTGCATTGATTTAAGGTCCTGTAAGTGCAATGAAACATAGTTACCATGCATATAAATGCTATTTAACTAGAGATTTTATTCTTATTTGGGGCTTTCTCTTAAATCCCATGGCTTGTAATTTAGATATTGTAGATCTTTGATGTAGAGTATGAATGTAATTGGTAAAGGGGAAGGGAGTTGCATGCATTTGGATGTTGTAAGCCAGAGAAAACCACTCAAACACCAGGCCAGCATGAAATTGTCCCTTACTTGTTCTAAGCAAGAGAAAAGATGGGGAGAAACTATCTTTTTGTAAGGAACACACGTAGTACACATCTCCAGAAACCAGCATCTTTTTCCATTCCTCCTTTTCCAAAGATGGGCAGACCTGAAACACGTCCTAGTTACAAGGTATTTAAGTTTTGTGCTTGGTGATGTGTCTGTGTCAGATTGAGGAATCTGTGCGGAGCATGGTAATGCGCTATGGAAGTCGGCTGTGGAAATTACGCGTCCTCCAGGCAGAACTGAAAATCAACATTCGCCTGACACCAACTGGAAAAGCAATTCCCATTCGCCTCTTCCTTACAAACGAGTCTGGCTATTACTTGGACATCAGCCTGTACAAGGAAGTGACTGACTCCAGGACAGCACAGGTATGGTAGTCAAGCAGGGTCCTCAAAGTTTTGATTTGGTCCTGTGGATAAGCCACGTGCCCTTGTCATGGAAGACCCAAACTCACAAATCCCATTGGTTCACCTCGTGGGGTTATCCTCTGTCAGCTTAAATAGTTGCATAAATCTGAAAAACTTCATTTGCCATGTAAGATGTATCTGTATTCCTAATCATGAATGTTATGAAACCCTCAAACTTTTGTCACATAGTGGTGAGCCCAAAGAGATGCCAAGTGAACCTGACTCCAGAGATAATTCTTCAATTTAGGGCCCTTTTTGAGTGGGCTCTTGAGCTGCTTGAGCAATCTTGGGTCTGATTTGTCCTGTTTTCTGTTTTCAGCCCAGTTAGACTACTCATTGGCAAGTAAGGAAAGAGAATTGTCGAAATATGTCACCCACTTCTGTCTTAAAGAAGGAAAATTTCAACATAATATAAGTTTGAGCAATAGTAAACAATGACTTTATCATGTTTACCATTTAACATAACATTGCATTATATTATTCCATTTACACACATTATCTTTCCTTCAAAGGTTCAGAGTATTATATATCTACAAAAGAGCAAAATGGCAAACTTGAACCCACTTTTTGGATGGAAAAATGGAGACTATGAAAATGAAAAGTGACTTTCAGTAGATTCTGTCATAACAGAAAATTCCATTTATATCTGTTTTACTACCTTAGTTTCTAAATATTTGGGCTATTTTGCATGATACTGGATTTAGGTTGGTTTACCATTGTTCATGTCTTTTTAAGAACTGGGATGTTATTTCAGGTCTTTGGCCTGAACTTGGGAAGTGCATTTCTTCAGGTTAAAGGACGAACTTGTTCCAGAATGTGTACACAAGTTTTCAGCCTGTTCTATGCATTGGGTGCCAGGAAAAGATCATATGTCTCTTGTTTTTATCTATGTCCTTTTAAATCTGGTAACAGAGGTAAGAAAAGACATTTTGCCAGTATTTCGAAGGTGAATTTTAAAGATCTGAGTTTAGATAGACAGAGTGACCTTTCATTTTGTGCTTTGATTCCCAGTTAGATAGCCAGAGATATCTATCCCGTGAGAAGTGAACAGTTAAGACAGAGAGAGAGCACGCACAAGAGTGTGCGGGGTGAGCAAGAGAAAGAGTAGTATTCAGTAATTTCTGCTGCATTTGATGTTTTTCAGGACAACCTTAAAGACATTTTCAGTCGAAACTTTCCATGGGCAGGGATGTGTTTAATTAACTCCAAGTGGCTTCAAGGCAGGTCTATTCTTCTGAAAAATAAGATGGCCACTTGAGATTTTAATGTTTTTGATAAATATGTTTGTTCTTCATAACTACTTTTTCTCCCCTTTCTTTTATTAGAAAGCTCTTAGATTTCCCTCATGCTGGCTAGTGGTGACACAGGGGCATAAAAGATGCAGAAGCCTTCAATCAGTTTAGTACTGTGCCTGGCACAAAATAAGCATTCGACAAGTATCTCAAAGAATGAGTGAGCTACCTTTAGAATGAAAGAGGGAGAACCCCTTTTACCAGGGGTCCTGCGTATTTAGGAAACCTTGAAGGAAGAAGTCTCCCTCACTGTCTTCAATTGAAAGAGACAGCCACTGCCACTTGTGAACTCAAGACCCAGGGCTGGAGGAGGGAATCATCAAAAGGAACAGCATCCAACTCACTTCTCGTGCTCCTAATGCCTACTTGATGCTTATTGCCTATATATTTTTTCCCTTTCTTTGCTCTAGTGGGTCATTATATGATTTTAAAATAATGTGGAACCATGCATATCATTCATTCATTGTTAATTAATTTAATATTTATTGACCACCTATAGTGTGTCATGCACTACAGATATAAAGATAAAAAAATGATTTCTAGTCTCAAGAAATTTGCATCACGATGGAATAAGACAGATAATTAGCTTCTGTGTAGTGTGATTAAGATTCATGCCATCATAAAGTAAGTACAGAGCTCTAAGGGGACAGACTATATGGAATCAGATTGTTTTCCAAGAGAAGCCCTTTTGATGGCCTCTGGTGAAAGGTGTGTGATATAGAAAATGTGTACGTATTTTCATGAACTTGTAAACCATACACTTCACCAATTGTAGTTACTTTCTCCATTATAGTAGAAAACGGAATTAACACAGATAGCTAATCATTCAGAGGCTTCTACTGCTGTCCGTCACTATCAACCTCTTGTTGCAGCACATCATGTATTCTTTCTGCCGGCAAGGAGGAAGGTTGACTGGCTTGAGTTTCATTTTCCTTGTATAGTCTTTGTGGTATTAGCTACAATGAACACTGATATCAGGCAGTCATGGTGGGGAGAAGAGATCTGGGTAATCCATTGCATAAGTCAGTTGATTTCCAATGTGTAGTGTAAGGGAGAAATATACATGTAAAATCACCTTTATTGATATAAATTTACATATAATAAAATGCAGTCATTTTATGAGTACACTTCAATTCTGAAATTGTATATACCTGTGTAACTACCATCACAATCATGATAGAGAACATCTTGACACCCCGAAAGTTCTCTTGTTCTCCTTTGCAGTTAAAGGTACAGGCACCAGCCCCAGCCCCAGGCAACCACTGATCTGCTTTCTATTATTATAGATTAGTTTTGCCTGTCCTAGAATATCATATAAATGAAATTAGACAATATGTACTATTTTGTGTCTGGCTTCTCTTGCTCAGCATAATGTTTTTGAGATTCATCCATGTTGCATGGAGTTCGGGTATATTCCTTTTCATTGCTGAGTAGTACTCTGTTTTACTGATATACCAAAATTTTTATATTTATTCACGTGTTGATGAAACTTTGAGGTTTTATTTTCCAGTTTGGTCTATTATGAATAAAGCTGCTGTGAACTTTCATTTACAAATATTTGTGTAGATATGTTTTCATTTCTCTTGGGTAAATACACAACAGTGTAATTACTGAGTCATAGCAAGTATATATTTAACTTTATAAGAAACTGCGAAACTGTTTGCTAGAATGGTTGTACCATTTTAAATTTCCACCAGCAAAAATTACCTAGAAGCCTTTCTCCAACGCCTTTTCTCAGTCTACACAGTTATGTTGCTTAACTGTGACAAGCCTAACTTCATTCTAGACTGTGGCAAAACTGAGTCTCAAACCCTGTACCCCACACATCTTATCTTTCTTATAAATGGGAATGTAGTTCCAAGAACCTGCTGCTTTTATTCCTTTTTCTTATTTTGATTTGACTTACCTCCTCTGAATCCAGTTTTCTCATACTCACACCCTGGCCTGACTTAACACTTTGAATCTCTAAAAACGCTACTATTTCTACCTCTCACATTCCTAAAACATTGCTAATTCTGCTGCCCACCTGATGACTTTCACCATTGGTCATGTGAAAGAGGACTTAGAGCTCCATTCTGTGGGGTTTTAAGCAGCCTCAGACAAGTTTTGCCCAGAATAGGACCTACTTGACAAGTCAATAGAACATGCTTGTTCCTTTGAACCAAAGGGCTAAGGATTCACCTCGCTGAACCATACCCAGGATTTAGGAAAGTACTTAATTCTCTTCTTAGGTCTGTCTATCAGGTCCACAAATCTATTCATTAATATTAGACTTAAGCTTGTATATTTTAGGCCCAAATAGATGTGTGGGTATACACACATACCCTTACATTCCTGTCTCCATTTGTATTCACTGCATAGAGAATCTATATCTTATGTATTCATGCATAAAGTGCCTAGTTTAGTGTCATACAGTCTCTGGGCACTCAATAAATATTAATTGAATTGAAATAATGGCATCCCTTATAAATATTCATAAGCAAATAAAACTAAATTTATGGAATATGAAGTACTATTCTAGAAATATTTGAGTTAAAATGATTAAAAACTGGTTTGGTGATTTCATTATGTAACAATATGGGTATTAAAGGGACTGTTCACTAGTTGCAGACATAGTATACTAAGGAAAATAAATATATATTATATAAATATAATTTAGTAAAATATATTTTACCATAGGCTATGTCTTACAAGCTAATAAGACTAACCAGCTAGATGGATGGATGAAATCTACTTCTGGCAGAAATCTTTGAAGCCTTTGTGCAGCTAATAATACTTAGGTGGCACCTTCTAATCAAGTAGACTGAAGCACAGATATGGTAGAGCCTTGACTTGGCCTTCAACCATTGGGGAAAGAACAGAATTCTCTTTAGTGCATAGCTGTTCTTCAACTTAAATACTAGGACTGTTCAGACTCGTTAGTCAGACTGGACATACTTCATTTCTGAATATATGGGATTCAAGACACTTTAGAAGGCGAGCATTGTCAGTCTGTCTCTGAGATGTGAAATTCACATTGTGCTTTCTTGTTGATTTCAACTAATCCAAAAGTGAGAGCAGCCTATGGAGTATGGTTGGTTACATAGCATTTTTTGGAGTTGGTTAATCTGTAGAGAAGTGAGAACACTAAAAATCAAATGTGAAGAGGCATGTCTTATCTACCCAACCCACCAAAAAATATGTTCTAAGAAATAGCATTTGTGAAAAAGGCCCCTCTAAGCAGCTATCTGATTTTTTTCTCTCTCTCTTAACTCTCCATGCCATCCTCTGTTTCTTGCAGATCATGTTCCAGGCCTATGGAGACAAACAGGGACCATTGCATGGAATGTTAATCAACACTCCATATGTGACCAAAGACCTGCTTCAATCAAAGAGATTCCAGGCACAGTCCTTAGGGACAACATACATATATGATATCCCAGAGATGTTTCGGCAGGTAAAAGTGGCTAACTGGCGGGGGTGGAGGGGGGGGGGGGGCGGGGCGCTCTGACGTGTTGCAGAGAGGCAAAGTTTTTCCTGAATTTCCATCAGATGCAACTTAGACTGAAATGGGGCACTCCCAAAGGACAGGATGTATCTTGACAGTATTCTCACTTCTGTCTCATTCGGGATTTGGTGACTGCCAACTCAGATGCTGGATAATTCTTTATGAATTAACAGGAGGAATGATGAGGATAGAAGCCTCTGTTGAGTAGAAGAGAGTAATCTGAGACCGCATGCCTCTGATAGTAGTTTACAAGGACCTGTGTGAGGAGTTATGTTCAGGTATATATTTCCTAGCCTATATTCAAATTATGCATATTAGGAAAGAGGTTTGAAACTCTAGTTCTCATTTTCCTATTTTCTAAGATAACCCAAGTCCCTAGTTGATAGCCTAGGTTAATATGATGAGACTCAATATAGATAACATATACAAATGGATATAGAGTTCATGGTACACAGTTTAAAGCATCAGTTCTTTTGTGGGAGATTTATTATAGCTGAATAAAAACTAGCGTGAGAAAATTGCGACATTATGAATCTCATCCTCTATATGAAAATAAATTCCTTTGATCTGTATGGTGAATCATCTGTGTGCTGCAGAGTTTTCTTCCATCAATAGAAGGCAAGAAAAGTATATCACCAGCAAAGTACAACAGATAAAGAATAAGGTATCAAAGGAATACTGAATTTGTCCTTAAAATAAATCTATGAATATAAGATTTTTCCAGGTATGCTAGTCAATACTACCAGTGTTACCACATTTGAATTTTAATAAAATAATATATGTAGTGTTAGTAAGTTGTCTGTTAATTCCTGTATTATTCACAAATACAGGAGATTTCTTTTTTGTGACCATTTGTTTACAATTTGTCTCTCTTGAAACATAGCTATCTTCATTCAGTATCACTGGAATTGTTAGCTTAAAAGTTGACTGTAGGTTCTTTTCCCCAATGCCAATGCTAGAAAAAGAAGTCACATTCTATCTAATTCTTCATATAGAATAGACGTAAACACTATGATTAGGACATGTAGGTGTGAATGACGCATATTGGCTTTAGATATTGCTTTGAGGCAAGCAAAGAAACAACTGAACTAGGTTCCCGCTTCATGAGGGATTTGTTTCAGTAATATGAAGTTGGAAATGGAAATCACAATGGTTTTAAAATGGATAGGTGTGTCTGTCTGTTTTCTCAGATTTGAGCAGGATTGATCTGCACATTTACAAATAGTCATACACCTCTAGTGAGCTAATTCTTGTGTAGGGGCCTGTAGCTCTGAAAAGACATTAGAAGAAGGATGCTTCCCCTGAACATCTAGTAGAAACTTAATTCTTGCCTTCTTGGATTTTCTTTGTGTTGGCTGAGTGTCATGTCACTTTCCTGATTATTCTTCTTCTGCCAAGTCTCTCTAGGATTTTTCTTCCTTTTTTAAGGAGACATTGATGCTACATATTTAGTTTTCAATTTTAATTTTCCTGGATATTGTTAGGTCTCTTGTGTTTGTTATTGCTCTAGTCCTGACTCAGATTCACTTAGTAGTTTGATTTTGTTGAAAAAGTGCCTGATTTTTGGCATGTAAAAAACATGACGTGAAAAATAATTAAAAATCTGTTTTAACTGAGAATGAGAGCTGTAGAATTTGATCTAATGCTTAGAAACTCAGCAGAACACTTGAAAAGAAAGAGCAAAACCAGCTTGACTAAATCTTAATATTTAGTTTTGTCCATGTTGAAATGCTAGTTGTCACTGATAAGTCAAACTTCTCTCCTCCACTAGTCCCTGATCAAACTCTGGGAGTCTATGTCCACTCATGCATTCCTTCCATCGCCCCCTCTGCCGTCTGACATGCTGACGTATACTGAGCTCGTACTGGACGATCAAGGTCAACTGGTCCACATGAACAGGCTGCCGGGAGGAAATGAGGCAAGTAGTTAAATTTGCCCTCCCCCTTTCTTATGTGTGTGCTCACTAGTACCAGCTTTCCGTGGGGATGGCCATTAAATAGTATTAAAGATCCAAGTGGCATAGGCAGCATAGTAGTTTAAAAAAAGTATTGTTTTCTGTTAGACATACGTACTTAAATAGTTACAGATGGAATGACTACATGTCTAGGATTTGCTTCAAAATAATGACAGGTGAGTGTGGGAGTATAGATGAAACAAGATTGGTTATGGATTAATTGAAGCTAGGTAATAGATACATAGAAATAGATTATTTCCTCTATTTTTTTATATGCTTAAAATATGGGGATTTCCTATAATAAGAAAATTTAAAGTATTGTTTTGCTTGATGTTTTTCTTTGTTTGGATACTTATTTGCATACTAATAGACATTTTCTGGTACATTTTCTATGCTCAGGTAATTTGATCTGGTGCTGTTGTGAACATGGTCAACATATTCTTTCTAAAGGGGCTCAATCAGAACCAGGGGTTTAAAAATCAAAGAAAGTAACAGAGAACTCATTTCTGCATTATCCAAGAATACATTTTCTGGCCTTGGAGTTCACTCTCCTATAGTGTACTGTTAATAATGATACGAAATCATATTCTGCCCTATACCCTGTGCCCTCCTGTATTCATTGAGATTCTTCCTGATTTTAACTATACTTCTAATGTACAGGTATAACAACAATGATAACAGTAGTAAACCTAAAAAGAGATATGTTTTTATTTCAACCTTAGATATAATCTCTAGATAAATCTCATTTCTTAGAAGGAGTAATCTTTACCGGGGTGTTCACCCTAAACAGACTGGGTAGACCTTTGGAGATAATATGCAGTTTTTCCATTTTATGCAGTAACTTTTTCAAAAAATTTCACTATATGTTCAAGCTGTATGGCTGGTTCAGTAAGTATACCAGTGGATGCCAAAAGGAGATGATTTGGTATCAGGATGGCTGCAACTGTTGGACCAGATGGAGTGTATCAGACTTGTAGGAGTACTAATCTAATGCCTCAACAAATAGTAAAGGCAAGAAAGGATGCATAGAATTTTGACGAGAGTAGATATATACTCATTAACACACAAAGTCGAAGCAGAGGTTTGTGCCACTGTCTGTAGCATCTACGCACTTAGTGAGCCCCTCAACAGCAAAGAAAGCTTCTTTGTGCTAGACTTAAATTCTGATACATTGAACAGTGTAGTCTTCAGGAATGGAAGGCACCAGAGAAAAACGGTTTTAACTAATGTAATTAAAACACAAAATGAGATTTTTGGCCATGTGAAAGCTAGCTGCAGAGCTAGTGAAACCTCTTGCCATGATCTTTCTCTCCTGCTTCCTCTCTGCTCTCATTCTGTGTTTGAGTGAATGGAGACTGGGGAAATAGTGAAATCCCAGAGGGACAGAGCTCTGTTCTTGCTGAAATTACAAGCACAGAGCTGCCTGGGCATGAACATGTAGTGTTTACTCTGCCAGTATGAATACAAATAGTCTTATTATACAGGACTCTGTACCCAAACACCACACACACACACACACACACACACACACATGCACACACACACACATGCACACACACCAAAGAATAAAAAAAAAATAAAGGTTTTTTTTAACCCTTGTAAGACCCAACAAACCTTCGTGGGAAAGGGGTGTCTTAGCCACAGAGGACTATATCTATGAGAAGCAGAGTCAGTCTAGGGACTACATGTTTTTCTTTGCCCAGTGCTTTAATAAATCTAGAAATCTAATAGTATTTTTAAAAAATTTTTTGCTTTTTGTCACTTCTCACTTTCTTCTTGTTCTACTATATTCCCGCCGTAGTTGCCTATTTTCTTTGTTCTCTTTACCTTTTCTTCAAATGATTCGCTAGGATTGAGGCTGAGTGTTAGCTTGCTGTTTCTTAGTCTTTGAGCTCCGGAGGAGTGAGACTGATGTTCTTTTGTGAGCAGTTAGTGACTAATGCCCGGGATGGCGGGTGAAGTCAGTCAGTGGCCATAGCTAGATTATAGGGCACTGCATGACAGGAATGAGTTTGGGGTATTAGTATCAAATTCTGTTACCAATAGCTGGAACATACAATAGAGCATGTGTACTGAGAGACTGGCCAATCTAAAGATGGAGTTTCAGCAGTCAGAACTTGAGGGACAGCTATGCCTAAGAAATGACGGGGTGTCAGTAGGATGTATTTCCTCATGCTGAGCCCAGTTTTATCAGGGCAAGTTGACTTTCAGCTATTGCAGTTTAATTTTCTTTGGCCAAAGAGACAAGTTTGTCATGAGCCTGGCACTCTACATATTACCCCAAGAATGATAGGAGGGGAAAGAAAAGAGCACATGCTGATGAGATTTGGTGCAAATCTGTTCTGTCCCAAAGAGAATGGGCATCTGAAAAAGAGCCTTGAGAAATAGTTTTATTAAAAAAGGAATAAAAAATTGACCTGTTAATGTTCTGAGAGCCAAGGCTCAATGTAAATGCATTGATGCTACAGAGACATTAAATCATCATAATGTGGTGTTCTCCAAAGGTGACGGCTCTACCAGGTCATCATTGTGGGTGATATTGCATTACCTTGAAGGATTGGAGTTTCTGGGTTTAAAAGCTAGCACATGGGTATAGGGGATAAAGGTAAAACAAGAGATTCCTGTAGTTTCTCCATAAATTGAGATGCTTTTCCCCGTAATCAAAGGCAGAAATCCGTACTTACCAGACCATCAGCTATAAAAGTGGCCAGTCTCTCTCCCCTATTTTTTTTCCAGGACAGTAAATAGGTAAAATGGTGATGGGACTAGGACTTGGAACAATTCAGTTCCATTTACTTTTAGGTAACTTGTTTGCCATTTGAGGAAGAATATTGGCTATTTCAGCAGAGATGTGACCTGCATTTTGAACATTGTGCCCATGTTAAAAGCAGGAGAAAGAGAGCTTATTTGATGTAGTATTAGCTACTTTCTTCTTTTTATTTTCCTCGTTGTCCCTTCCCCATTAAGAAAGATAACTGAAGGAATGTTACTCTATGCATGATGGAAAGATATAGGAGAACACATTTTTCTCATTGTCAGATTTGAATGGCACTGTGTTCAGTGTTCAGTATGAATTTAGAATAGAAATAAAAAAAAGATGTAGACCAAATCTATGAACTATGTTACTTACAAATAGCTCAAAAGATTAGTTGTCCAGGATTGTTTTAATAATTTCAAGTAGAGATGGAAATTGAGAAAAATGTGATTGCAACATAGACTAAACTGATTTTAGTTTGAGCTGCTATGGCGCTACAGTGATGGGCACTGTATGTAAATTCACAGCTAGATGAATGTGTGCTGTTGAGCCTGGATACAGAAGAAATGCAGCTAACCAACAGTTCTACTTTTACCGCTTCTCGATTTTGGAGGAATTGTTTTCATTTTCCTGCCAGTTTGCTAAGCTGTTTTGATCATTTGGTGGAAGCTGTAATTGCAGGTGGGAACATTTTGAGTAACAGTTCACAATCCAGTGCAGCTGCTTTTCGCACTAAATCCTGTTATTAAAAGGCTCAGGCTAAGATCAAGCCAAGGGCTGTAACTGACTTGACAAAGAACAACTTAACTTTGTTTAGTAGGACAAAGAAAACACTAGCTTTCTTGAGACTATGTTCTTATTTGTTCTGAAACGTTATTAGCATTCTTTTATTGTATTTCCTTTCACAGCTCTGTGAACTAGATACGAATCTCTAAATTGGGCAATGATTAAAGATATGATAGAGAGGCAACTTTTATAGCAGTTTTAGTGTGGATAGAAATTAGGACCCTATTTTCCTTACTATTTCAGAACATTGGCTTTTGAATAATGTGAACCTATCCATTCCTACTCATCCCATCTGTCATAATGAAAAACTAAGATGAGAAGGAGACACTGTGTTTAGAAGCAGTTATAATAATTAAGTACAGGATGTGTACTTCAAAAAGGATTGGTAATTAGAGACAGGAATTCTTGCAGGGTATTAAATTTTTTCCTTAAAATTTTTCTAGGAGATAGGTATTTCCAAGTTTAATGCAATTTGATGATCACCTCCACACACACTACCACACTTGACAATTGTAGTGGCTCCAAGGCTTCATTTTTTCAGATGGGCACTAGATGTCAGGGTTTTTCCTTCTCAGCTCTTAGCGTTCAGACAGGCCTCTGGAATTGCCCTGTTTGGGAGGCAAATCCAGCGGTATCCTTCCCTCTTTTTTTCGGTTGGTATGGTGGGCTTTGCCTGGTGTTCCTACAATATGCAATTGCATTTTTAACTCTTGGGTGAAGATCTGTTGAACTTTACATCACGGCTCTACATGTTTTTACTGGAAACATTGTTTTAGGAAGAGGATAATCAAGGAAGAAAAAAAGTAGTGTAAATTAAAGTTTAAAGACTAGCTGCCGTCATGACTGATCTCTTGGTTTTGGTTCTGCTTTATGTGTTTGGGGGGAGAAATGGTAGGGATGGTGGGGATTAGGAATTCGGTTCTAGAACTGGTCAACCTTGCCCCTATTTAATTGTTGTTTAATTGTGGGCAATGTGCTACTGTCCAGTTCCACCAAGGCATAAGTGTCTCTTTAATTTTTTTGTTATAAAAAATTGCAAACTTATAGAAAAATATAGAGTGATGTGACAAATACCCCTGCATATACTGACTAGCTTAAAGAAATCTTGCCATTTTGACACTGCTCCTCACTTATGTGTTGCTATAATCCTTTGAAATCTCTAATTTGAGTATAAAAACAAAAAGATTTTAGGAGTTGTGTAGGGAAAGGAAGTTGCTAAGCTTATATAAGCCTAAAAGATTGGAAGAAATTAATTAGCAGATCCATTTTGACAGTTCTTAGGCCGGACGTCTTAACCCAAAGGACCTCTTATTTTAGAAAAACCACCGTAACCCTCGGTCTTAATTCACTTGGTTGACATTTCCCGTACTCTCAGAGGAATTGCGTGGGTTATCCTGCACTCAAATTCTGGTGGAACCCGTTA